AGGAGGAATTAAAATCAGGAATACAGGAGGAATTAAAATCAGGAATAGAGGAGGAAGAAAAATGAGGAATACAAGAGGAATTAAATTAAAATCAGGAATACACGAAGAAGAAAAATGAGGAATACAAGCAGAAGAAAAAATCAGGAATGTAAGGAAACTTTTGTAAAAGATTAGGATAAAGGAGGACAGGGAGATCAGACAAATAAATGTGAGAAATATAAATACAAGTAAAGGAACACCGCAGAAATAAGTATGAGAAATATAAATATATATAAAGGAAGATCAGAAGTAACTATGAGGAACATGGATATAAATGTGAGAATTAGAACTACAAATAAATGTGAGAATTATAAATATAAATAAATGTGAGAATTATAAATACAAATATATATGAGAAATACAGATACAAATATATATGAGGATTATAAATACAAACAAATGTGAGGATTATAAATACAAATAAATGTGAGAATTATAAATACAAATATATATGGGAAATACAGATACAAATATATATGAGAATTATAAATACAAACAAATGTGAGGATTATAAATACAAATAAATATGAGAATTGGAAATACAAACAAATATGATAATTATAAATACAAATAAATATGAGAAACAAAAATGCAAATATAAAAACCTGACTACTCACAGCAAAGAGAGCAGGCCCCATGTAAGTCTCCATATACTGATAATAAAGGGACATTATCTTCACCAGGTTCTGTAAGGCAGCCACTCGTACCTTTGGGGCAAAAAAGGGATTATTTGACCCAATTCTGGTTATTTTACCTGGGTTTGGGTGTCAGGGGTTCCCCCCCAGCTGCCCCAGGAAGGTGCAGGGGCAAAGCAAGCCCTGAATTCACTCACCCTTGTGTCTGGACACTGTGTTGCTTCACAGACTACTTGCATAATAAAGTGCCTTTCAGACTGGAGAAAAGAGAGCAAAAAGAACATTAGAAGGGTCTTTACAAAAGCACTGGAGGCTTCCTGGGGAGGTTGAGTTTGAGCCTGGCCTGGCCCAGTCCCTCCTGCAGCACTTCTGAAGATCCAGGGCCAGCCCAGGGCACTCACTGCAACTATTTTAAACCATTTCTACCCCAAAAGGGGTAATCCCAAGATTTCCTTTGCAAGGGTTCAACAGGCTGGCTTAAAATAAAAAGGGAAATAAAGACTCAGCTTTTCAGGGAAAGGAGCAAAAAAAAATTCCTGCTGTTCCCTATTTTCAGTAGTTTTCCAGAAAACTCCAGTCAGGACATTGATTTCTCAGAGGGGCAGCACCTGGATTCCCACTTTTTGGCAGGAAGGAACAGATTCATTTATTATTATTTATAAATAATAAATATTATTATCTATAAATATTATAAGTAATATTTATAATAATAAATATTTATACTTATTTATTATTTATTATTATTTATATTTATTATAGTATTGTCTATTAATACTATAATTATATATCTATATTCATAATAAATATTATTATTTATAAATAACAAATATTATTATAAATACTATAAATGAATATTATTATTTACAAATAATAAATATTATTTATAAATAACAAATATTATTATAAATACTATAAATGAATATTATTATTTACAAATAAATATTATTATTATTATTATTGTTATTGTTATTATTATTATTAGACAGGTTATTTAACAGGACTGAGCCCACAGAAACAGAGCCTGAATGGATCCTACACCTCCCATCCCCAATTCTGGAAGGCTCAGTTGATCCCCATCAACACCCCCCGAGGATTTTAGGGAGAGTTTTCCATGAAAAGCCCCTCTAAGCTGGAGGTTCAGCATTAATCCCACCTTCCCCACACTGTCCCTGGCAGAGAATTGAGGGATAAGACTTAAGCTGAGAAGGAAAAGACCAAATCAATGGGTTTGGCTGCTCTGCAAAGAGGCTCATCCCGAGGTTGGACTTTTCCTCCCCCAACGATTTCCAGAGGCCAAGTTAAACCTGGATGGGAGCCACAAGCACTTGAAAGGAAGTGCTGATCCAAGCTGGTCCTGGATCAGGAAAGCAGAGCATCCAACAGGCTCAGCTCTAAGGTCAGTTCAACTTTATTCCCCCCCTCCCTCCCCAAAAAAACCCCCAACATTTCCTCGGCACCGACGATTTCCACGGGATTTTTTTAGAGATGAATCCAAGTCTCAGCCAGAACAGGATTATTATCCATCAAAACTCAGCGTGGTGCATGATTCCTCATCACAGACCGTGGATTCAGCCCTGGGATCTGAGGTCAGGGGGTGGTTTTTCCCTCCTCACCTCTTTGTCAAAGTTTGCTTTGGTGAATTCCAAAGAGTTCAGGAGTGCGTTTGTGGCCGCCAGCTTCACGTTGTTGCTGGGCTCTTCCTTCCTCATCCCCTGGATGATGGCTGTCAGGATCTCGTTGGATTTGTCCTGGAGCTGCTCTGGATCCTGGAAGAAGTTGCCATGCAGTTATTTGCCACCTTAATTAGCTTTTTTTCAATATATTAAGTACCCCCTGAGCTCAATCCTGGTGTCTACAAGTTTTAGGACATTTTGCTCCGAGCTCAATCCTGATGTCTACAAGTTTTAGGACACTTTGCTCTTAGGAATTCCTGCACCAGAACACCTTTGCTGCTTTTGGGATGAGGAGGAGACTGAACTGAGCACAAAAAACCCTCCAGAAATGCAAAGCCAAATAAATCCCACTGTATCAAACATAAGCCCAACAAGCTCCAGGACTTGACTTTGCTCACCCAAAATGTTAAAAAACCACTGATTTCCAACTAATTTATGGACTGGGCAGAGCTCTACTTTTACTGGTAAATTTGCCAATATTTTTTAGGCATAACAGCAAAAAATGCACTGCCTGGAGCAGCAGCAAGGGCAGGAAACTGTTAAATCACTGTAAACACTCAAGGTTTAGGGAATAAAGCTGTGAATACACACTAAAGATTCATTTTTCTTTGTGGCAAAATCAAGTCTGCAAGACCCACAAGTAACTGGGTGAATTGTTACATGAGAATTTATCCAGCAGAAAAATTTAAGATTCCCAAATTATGGTCACAAAACTATAAAAACTCTAAAGGGGAGATCTTATAAAATAAATATAAGATGGGAAATACCCAACCAGCAAGGCAGGGCACCCAAAAATCCAGAGGTTAGTGATCCATTCCACCCAAAAAACCCCAAGGAACAGCCCCTCCAGAGTTGCAGGGATTTGTCACAAACAGATTTCCTCTTTTATTTCACTTTTCTCCCCAGTGAAACCAACCCCTTGAAGCCAAATAAAAGCCCCGAACAGAAGATTTCCCCTCCTGCCTCACTCCAGAGAGATTCCAGCAGGGACACAAGTTCTCCAGGACATTCAGTGGCACCAAAAGAGCAGCTGATAATTCCAGTTTTCAGTGGAGGACATGGAGTTTTCCAACCAATTCCCACCAGGTGCTGCAATCCCGGGATAAACCCACCGGAGCTTTTGCAGGAGGTGCCTCCAAGAGCTCAACATTCCTGCCTCAAAAATTCCTGAATTAACAACAGAGGGGCTTCCCTACCAATATGAAGGTCAGGTTTTCCCAAAGCAGAAAGGCATCAACCACTGATCCCTGTTTTATCCCTGGTTTTATCCAACATTTGGATGCTGAGCTGGAGTTTTCCCCCGGCCTCGTGTGACCGCAGGGACACGGAGACTTAAAACCTTCCCTTCAGGAAACATGACCTGGATTTGTTTGGGAAAGCAGGTCAGTCCTTCCAGGCACCATCCCTGGGTTCACTCCCATAGTTCTGTCAGCAGGATTAGGAACAGACAGCAAAGGGAAGCACCAAGAGCCTCCTGGATATGGAATCATGGAATGCTTAAGGCTGGAAAAGCCCTCTCAGACTGTCAAGTCAGAGAATCATGGAACACCCAGAGCTGGGAGGGATCCTTGAGGATCATCCAATCCAACTCCTGGCCTCGCACAGGACATCCCAAAATCCCACCCTGTCCCTGGGAGCGTTGTCCAAACATTCCCTGAGCTCTGGCAGCATTGGGGCCGTGACCAAACCCTGGGGAGTTCCTGGGTCCAACCACCCTCTGGGGGAAGAAGCTTTCCCAAAATCCAGCCTGAATCCCTCCTGACACAGCTTAAATCCCTACCACAGGAGGGAGAAAGGAAGAGAAGAGGTGCTGGGAAGACCCTGGGAGCAAAATCCTCATGGAAATTCTTCAATTTGGAGCTCTGGCTGGGCTGGGGAGTTCCT